TCTCAACCAGTCAGGAAGTCTACACCTTTTTATATCTCTTTCACTTACAGTCAAAGATTTCGTGGACTCATGATAAGTTTTGGTTTGACCACTGCTACTAGCTCTTTTCCAACCTCATCGATCCTATGTCAATTAACATTATTCGTAGTCGAGGAATGCTAACGATGATTAGACATGCGTAATACATGTCCTAACCATCTCAATCGAAGTAGCCTCACAACCTTTATCGATTGTATTTCCCTCCTTATTTAACACTCGACGGAAGCCTGACCTCAATATTGCCCATCTTATTATACCACTTAATACCTAGGGGAGACAGAACGCAGAAACCTATTATGATCAAAGACATCTAGCCTTTTCGTATCTTTCACTTACGATGGCCACGTTTCACAGTCAGCCATAAAGGTGTAAGGAGAGAACTGGTGAGCAGTATACGCGTACTTTGATCGGTAACCAGACGGTTATCACGTCTACTCCAGAGATGGACTCTAAGTTGTATCCATCAACTGTGAGATTTCATCAACTTTCCAAATAAGTGAAGTGGTCAATAGGCTGTGCGACTTCACCTCCTATCTGAAAGCTAAAAGTCGATGTGTAGTCCAGTCCTGTAGCATCATCTTATATTTGACACAAGCAAATCGGATCCAAAACATCCAGAGATTTCTGCTCAAGGTGTTCAGGATCATTACCTAGGAGAATTATATCATTCGTATATTCTAAGCCAACAAGACTACACTTCATATGAACTGTGATCAAGATTTGACCGGATAGTTGCAAAATAATTGAGCGCTGATTGAGAAGTAGACATTTATAAAATTATATTTGTAAAATCTCAGCGAAATTGAAATGATTAATTCCAACGTTTCGTTCGGCAATCTGGTCCGAATTTCTTCAGGGAAATTAATCGAATTAAAATAAACAGAGGTTTATATATAAAAGGAACAACTCATGTTTTTAAATTTTGTCCAATCATGAGTCATGAAACAAGCATCAACATGTAAAATAAATAAATAAATAAAATAGTATGTTTAAATATAAAAGTACATCTCTTGTTTTAAATTGTTTGTCCAGTCTTGTGAATCAAGAAACAGCTATCAATAGGTATAGTAAACATTTACCCATTTACCACCAAAGTAACTGTGACCAAGAATCTGATCAACAGAGCCAAACGTCTAGTTACTGAGGAGGAAGATATTAGCAAGGAATTAAAATTGGTTCAATCCATTCTTGAATCAAATAATTATCCAAAAACCTTCATAAATAGATATTTAAAATGTGAAGATAAGGATGAATCAAAACCTAATGCTAAGAATTGGGTTAGTACAGCGGTGATTCCTTACCGCAAAGAAACATCCGACGAAATAAAGCGAATCCTTAACGACCATAACATACGAGTGTATTTTCGTGTATCAAACACCTTACGCTCATTACTGGTTAAGGTTAAGGATAAAATAGAACAAGAAAACCAGTAGAATTGTGTATACCAGATCAATTGTAGGGATTGTAACGCCGTATATGTAGGAGAAACTTCCAGACAGGTAAATGTAAGGGTGAAAGAGCATAAACAATGTCTAAAGGTGGTTCCAAAGACCTCTACAGACTTGAAGAAGCTAGAAAACAACTCAGCGATTGTACTGCACTCGATAGAAACGGGACACAAAATCGACCTTGATGAGAATAAGGTTTTACAGAAAGGTTTTGGTTCATATAAAGAAAGACTGACTGCAGAAGCCCTACATATATGGGTGAATCCCAACATTTTGAACAGGCGTGAAGGTGTGATTTTAGCTGAGATTTTACAAATATAATTTTATAAATGTCAACAAGACTGTACCCTGGTAACAGGAAATGGATTGGATATATACGACGCTAGGTCCTAGAGAGTGGACATCCAAGGGTGATATAGAGGAGATGTACTGTCAAAGTCATATTCCACTGCAGAATCCAAGGGAATAATAATAATAATAACAAAAGTAATCAACTATAGTGTGTTAAGCAGTAAGAGAAAAGGGCATATATTTATGAAAAAAAGGAAGCACCCGCCACGTGTTATGAACAACACCCAGCCAACACTTTGCTTCAAAATACTCTCAGCGTACATACAGTAAACACACACACACACAACGCACACAGTATGTACATATATATGTATTGCTCTATGATTAGTTTTCATTTTGTCATCAACTTACACAATAATATGAGGGAAATGAAACTTCCGCATAGCCATACCTAGATTACTATATTTTTGTAAAACAAATTGATATTGCACATAAATTATGGAAAAGATGTCGGAAAAGAAACTTAGACGATATATACATATATAGAAATTCAGAGAATCATTGAAAACCTAGGAACACTGGATATCCATTTCGTCCCACAATGGAGTTCTTCGCCAATTGAAGAAAACCACGATATTTTCGCGGTATATGAAGCCGGTTCATTGGTCATGCAATCGTACTGGGTTAATGATCTTCGACGACGCATGAATGCCTCCCGGCTTGCAAGAGAGCTCAATCGCCAACTAATACGATCGATGAGCATCCTGTTCATCGCCATGATTTTTCATCAAATAACTCTCAGTTACTCATGATGACATTCCAAGGAGCACTATCACACATCATTTATTGGACTGTAATCATACAGTGACGTTGAGTAAAAGCTTTATAATTATTACTAAACAAGGAATAATAAAAAATACACTTCTCGATTTCCCTAAAACCAAATGCAATCAGATTAAAGAGGTCGGCTATGTGTACAAAAGGAGACAGTAGTTCGGCTTAAATCTACCTTGGTAGCGTACTTTTTTATTTTACGTTTACAATTTTCTTTCCCTACTCTTCACAATGTTTTCTCCATTATTATTATTATTATGGTTTAGATAAAGCAATAAGAAGACGTAATTTGTCTGAATCGTGTTGTGATGTATTTGCGCAACACATTTCGAACAATATGAAATTAATAAAGAGTTAAGAAGTGAGAAAATAGACAAGTTAGGTCAAGTTAAAAGGACATATTCAAGGTCAGAATAACAATGAAGATCACTAAACCAAATAACAAAGGTAATAGTACATCTACAATGGTATCAACGCAAAATTTACCAAGGAAGGTAGTTTTGGTGTGATGATGATTTGTTTTTGAACGCATAAAAGTGGTTTAAACTTTCTAATTGCTAGGGCACCTTACTAAGGCTCTTTTGTACCGAACAGGGGAGAAACGGTGTAGTAATTAAGACACTGTCCTGTCCAGGTAGGTTTTCTATAAATAGATCTTTTTATTGACCCATCAAGCCATCGACTAAACAATATCTTCCTCTCCTACAGAGTTAAGTGATATGCTATTCTGAGCTTATTAATAAAAAAAGCTCAGACAGTCGAATCACATTTCAAATCAAACCCAATTTCTGGCTAGCTAGTTACTGGGACGAACTGTTCTAGGTGAAATTTCAGCGAAGTTTCCTTTGGAAACCAAGATCACAATATGTGAACTGATTGGTTACAGGATTTCATCATGAGCTGACATCGGTTAGAGAACCATATGAAAACCTGGAAGTACTTGATGGCTGTTTCATCAGACTAGTTCGGGAATCTTCAGCAGTACGCACCCACTACAGCGGTTCGAACCCAGGGTCTTCTGGTTGCAAGGTTCGTAGACCAGAAAGCTACTGGGATCCGAAACAGTGGTCAATGTCTTCGGCGAGTATTTGTCTTGACCCGAACGACTTCCTACTAGAACCCCAGGTGACTACCTACCTGAATAGGGTAAGTCGCCAGTGAGCATCTCATCGGTAAAATCCTATTACCAATCAATCAAATCCCTACAAACCAATACCTGGATAAATGAACTAATTCAGCTCTCAGAGTTAAGTCAAACCGGGTATACACACCGACGGTTAATCAACTCCGTCGCAAATTAAGCGAAACTGTCGTTCAGTGTTTAGATGAACGGTTGAAGTGAGTGATGGGGTATACAAATACTACTCATCTCAATCAATCCATCAGTAGTATATAGTTTTCTGCTAATATGATACCATAAGTGGGGTAATCAAGCGGATCACAAATATCGTGGCGATCTGAATAACTTGGTTTTCAAATGGAAACTGTGGTGAAAATTTCACCTGCTCGAATGGTGTACAGATTGCGAAATTGTGAATAGTACTAACTGTAGTAGGGGAATAAGATGATGGTGATGTGGGTAGAGGAGAATGATGCTCAAGAAGGCTTTCTGTGCTTTTGGAAGTGTGTGGGCGGTTGTTACTTCTCGGCTGCCCACACCGTGGAAGTTGATTGATTCTTCGAGTACCTGAAACAGAGAGAGGGTTAGTGTTGCGTAACCACAGAGCCCAGCCAGTCACAGACGGCCTGTATGAACTGGTTTTTTGGTTTGGTTCCGTATTAGTAAACTTACCGCCGGTTACGGACCACCGCAGGTGGGGTTAGTCGGAATGTACAATTTTTGGAGTCGACCTTTTCTAGCCCACTATCTCCGGAGTGGAGAGGCAGCATAGTTGGCTGGCTGGCATGCTGGTCATCTTAGGGAAACATCCCCTTCCTGCTGTTACATCCTTGTTCCGCAGCAGTACGACTTCGCCCTCAGACTCCCAGCATAGTGTGTAAGAAAGATTCTTACACAATGCCGGTAACTGCTTTTAGTCTAATCGCTATCCTAACAAACTTCCTAGCATGGTAGGACCTACAGGAACATTGGTTCCAGCCAGTGTAGCTTGTTGGTGGGTCATCGCGATATGCAAGCCCGACCACCACCACCACCACGTCAAGGTAGCAGCTATCGGTCGAGTCCCTTGTTACAATAAACTCTAAGACAGACTTCTTCACACAGAAACTCACTGACATCCGATAGTTACATATTTATAAAAAAAATGAAATCAAAGGGAAAAAAACGGCTATCACAACTTGCGAATCGATATATGAGACAAGAGAAAAAGTAACTCATAGCTTCTAATTATAATCTCAAAGGGTTTCCACAAAGTGAAAAAATCTTACCGTTTAGGTCGACTTGGTGGTTTCGGTGGAGGTGGAGCAACACCTTTCTTATCTGTTGTTGTTGTCGTTGTCTTTAAATTGAATGTTACCGAGCTACTGCTGCCAGGCGGTTGTGTTGGTGGACGATAAGGCTTAGCCCGGTATGTTCCACCGAATACACGACTCCATGTCTTTGCGTCTAAACGTGCACATGCCAGCCGGTAGAGGATAGACGTGTCACGAGTGTATAAAGCATAGACAAGTAGACCGAAATAGGAGGCAGCTAAAGCTTGAGCCAACAGGCCGATTAATCGACGCCGGTCAACTGATTGGATGACTACTGGCGGTGTTGATAGCACAGCAGATTCACCACGATCGGATAAATTCTGTGCTGACGATGCTATACGCATCATCATTTGACTCGGATGGATGGCACTGCTTTGTACCTGTGGATCGGTGTAACTCTTCAAGCATGTAAGACCTAAAAGAAAACAAAAAAGAAACAGTATAACGAGAATATATTTTCACAATGGAAGCATGATACAGTAGGACTGTAATTAAAATATTTTCTGTTTAAAACAGGGCATATAAGTGAACAATATTGTTTGTTCTTTTCAATTAGATCTTCTTAAGGCATTATACATTAAAAAAATTATTTAACCAGTGACGGTGTTTGTAGATCAAATAATAATAATAATTGTTTGAAGTTTGACTAAGGATTTATATCAGTTGGAGAACCATTGAAAACCAGCCACGGATTACTGGACAGACGTTTCGTCGTGGACTTCTGGGTCTCAGTGAAAGTACGCACCTGCAACAGGAACTCAAACATCGGACCTTACGGTTACAAGACAAGCTCATAGACCATTGGACAAACTCTTGAAAATTTATCTGAGTTTCGCTAGTGACCAGCTGCAGGACAATGTTGACTGTATTTTTAATGAGAAGTCATGACCAGGAGGGTTCCACCCTGTGGGAAGTGAGGAAAAATACTCGCCAATGACATTGGCTGGTGCCAGTCGTACAAAGAAATGAATCACGAAATGGTAGAAGTTAGAATTTATGGACTGGCCATTGAGACGGGTGTTAATGTGGCTGAACGGTCTACGAGCTTCCCTAGCAGGTGTTCTCAGGCTCGAACCCACAGTTTTGGGTGAGTATTGTTGATGGGTTCCAAACTGGGACGAAACAACGGTCCCGAACAACAAAAATTTATTTTGATAAAGTCTCACAGTGTTATACAGTGGTATTTACTGATGACTACCTTTCGAGCACATTATCTCATTATCATATCAAGGTAATCAAACAACTTTCTAACTTCGTTTATATAATTCCATTAGTTTTCATCGCTTGATTTGATTTCCGGTATGAGTGATGAGTCATTAATATTTCATGTTTTGGGTGTAGACTCGATGAACAAGGATTCAGTAATCAACCTCTCTGTCTCCCCACCTTCCTATATTACTTCCCAGAATTTTAACTCTATCCCATCCTATTGTGTGGTTGTTTGTTAATGCATGCAGTGCAATCGCTGAGTGTTTTTTTCTAAATAACTTATCTTCGAGGGATAAATCATTCTTACCTCAGCTAAATTCTTATGTTCCGACAATCTGACTAAACCCACCCGATCTACTAGTTTGACCTATGTAGTAAACCTCAGTCACAGTCAGTGCAAGGTATTTTGTAAATTATATTATTATGTGTGACTGAGTCAACCTACAGGGTCCTTTAACCTACAGAGGTTGTCCCTGAGTGAGTTTGTAGGTTTGAATGCCGCCACCCTGATTCCTGCTTTATTCAGAATCCTACGTAGGGAGTGTCTCAGATGTCCCCTCCTAATATGGTATAACAGTAGATGACTTATATTCTCTCTTACTTATCATTACTAGTTTCACAATTATTTTTATTTTGCTTTTGGCGTTTCTCGATCTTCCTAATGAATTTTAGAGGATAGTTATTTAAAACCAACGCCTCTTCTGTCTGTTTTATTTCATCATTTAGGTCTTTTTTTGTGCTACTTAGTTAAGTGTCTAACAAACCAAGCAATAGCACTAAGTCAGACTTCACAGACAGGTAACGGATGCGATGAATTAAAGTTTAAACATCTATTAGAATGCTTGGGTTTTTTATAAAGGCTAGTGTACAATGAACCTTCTTATGTTCGTTTTATTTTAGAATCTAACATAGCCAATTCTCCTTGTTCATTTTCTGATTCAAATGTGAATTTTATTCCCTCTACTAGTGAGTTTATGTGTGTCAAGAAGCTAGAGATATGTTCTGTTTTTAACACTGTGAGTGAAAGTGTCATCCACATATCTCCACAATATTTTTGGAATAGGATTAAACGTATTAAAAGCCATATTTTCCCAGCTATCCATAAATATTTCTGCTACGATAGGGGAAATTAGTGATCCATCCGATTGCTACACCTTCTGTTTGTCTACATTTTTAGCTTTGGAATTTAAAGATAGTAGATGTGAGGCGGCTCCAAAGAGGCCTATTTCTGTATTTCACTAACGAATACGACTTTATTGTTACATGGTTGAAGGCAATCAACAGGAACACTTGGATCCAGGTTTCGGGTTTATTGACTGGCACACTCACTAGTCATCAAGGTGCATTTGCAACCTTGAAGGAACTCATATCCTTACTGAGATTCGAACCGAAGTCATCCAGTGCACCATGATGGCAAGCCACTTACCATGGTGTCCAGATTACAAATTTGACCGATAGAATTCAGTATGCACCACTACGAAGGACTAGAAGCATGAAATTAGATACTACTTAATATCGATTCCGAGATTATGGATTTATTTAGGGTCACAAAAAGCTACAAGGGGTGAAATAATATAGAGAAGTTGGAGGCGATGACGATAACCAACCAACCAACAACAACAACCAATCACTATCAACAGAATAATTTTGTAAGAGGTTAACTTCCTTCACTTATCTCAGCAGAATCGATTCAACTACATGCAATCAAAACAGCAGGGGGGTGTCGAAACCAGAATCGGAAAGGCAAGAGAGACCTTCAGTTTGAAAATTTTCTGCACTCAGTATAAACAACTAGATTGAATGTCTGTCTGTCTGTTTTCAACATAGAACTTTGCACTGATGTGCAGCATTTCAAGTTACCACACTCAATATGGGACACAAAGCAAGAGAAGAGAGTAAAGGTAGGTTGAAAAGACAGATAATAAACAGAAGTGTGAGGCAAAGAGAATAGTAATATCGAAGAACAATATAGTCTCATTGGAAATCATAAGTCACAAGGAGTGGACGCATCTGCCGTAGACATTAGGAACGAATTTGAGCCATATCACCAATTGTCTCCAGTTTCCACTGGTTTTTACCCAACCAGGAAGTCTGCACCTTCCTACGCGGCTTAAACTAACTGTTGTGAATTTCATTGACTGATAAAGTCATGTTTTAGTTTGACCACCACTGGCTCTTTTCCAGCCTGAACCTATGTCAGCTAACATTTCCCGTCGAGGAAGGTGATGGCTAGGATAGGCATGCGTAACAGATGTCGTAACTATCTCGATCGATGTATTTTCACAGCCTCGGCGATTGATTTCCCTTCTCTCCTAACTATCACTCGACCAAAGCCTAATCTCAATATTGATCATCTTATTATACTACCTAATACGGGAGATAGATAGCAACCACCTATGTTGGAAGACAGCTACCTAGCTAGCCAGGCTTTTCATGTCTTCCACTTTCAATGGCCAGGTCTTATAGCCATAAAGGAGGACGGGGTGGACTACTCAGAAGTACACAGGTCTTTTGATCGATAAATAGCCGGATATCATGTTTACTTAGCCAGAGATGGTGTAAGTTGGCAGGCATATGCGGAACGAGCCTTCTGTATTCGTGCTGAGATTTCATCAGCATCAACCCGCTGGCGTTGGCTGATGCAGCTTCTCAAATAAATGAAGTGGCCGACACGCTCTACCACTTCATTCCCTATTTCTAAGCTAGCAGTCAGTGTGGTCCAGTCCTGTAACATCATCTTACATTTGGCGGGAGCGAATTGCATGCCAAACATTCGCCGATTTCAGTTCAAGAAGTTCAGAAGACTCTGCATTTTGTCAGCGTCTTCACGTAATTGGGAGGATTGTATCATCTGCATATTCTATGTCAACGAGATAATTCTCTGGTGCCAACAAGTCAATCCCTGAGTCACTGAAGTCACTTAGGGTTAAGTCCATTAGTACATCTATGATGAAATTAAAGAGAGATGGGGACAGTGGGCATCCCTGACGGAGACCACTAGTTGTCATCACTTCAGATGACAACTCACCGTAAGCTCTCACCTGGCTGCATGAGTTCGAGTAGAGTGCCTTAATCAGTGCTAAGTATCTCCTCGGCACTCCTTTCACAGCTAAACATAGCTGGAGTACCTCTCGATAGACAGAATCGAATGCTCCTTTTAGTTAGGTCAAGAAATATAACGACTGTTGGAAGCCAGTGGTAAGTATGCCTATGTTCCAGAATCTGTCGAAAGGTGAAGATATGATCAATACACCCTTTTCCTGGTCTAAAGGCTGTCTGGTTCTCTCGTGTTTGTTCCTCCTCTGGACCGCTTAGTCTACGCATGATTTCCGGCACCCATGATAAGTCAGTCAGTAACGTCATCTATATAGGTCAAAAACTTGATACGCGCGTCCCGCAAAGCATTTCCAACAGGCGAATGAAGGCTTTCGTCAACAGCTGCCCTCGCTCCATATTGAAGATCAAATGCCAGGTCAGAAAGAATAAGCAAGCAACAAGAAACTATGGGAACAAAAAACCAAGCAAGAACCTGTCGTTCACCGAATATATAGAAGAAAATGGAGATGAATTGGGCAGACACCAACACTGAGGAGACCGTCGAATAACACTGTGCGATCGCTAGGCCATCATTCGAGTGGAATCCCAACAGGAAACGACGAGTTGGGCTTGTTTGGCATGAAAGCGATCGTGCGTGGAAGAGATCAGAGATTATTGGCATTGGTGGGGAACGTAGAGAATAGGACAAAGCGGAGATGTACTATTGAAGCCCCATGTTCCACTCGGAACCATGGGAAGCAATAATAATAACAAAAAATAGTAATGTCTCTACACAGTGAGGAAATCCATCTAGAGGCTAGTCAGAACAAGAGCAGTAATAATAATAATAATAATAATAATAATAATTTACTTTATTCCCAAAACAGTACTTGTGATACAGAATGGAATTTTCAGCATTAGTCACAATATCTTGCATCTAATTTCCTCAAATTATAAATAAAATTAATCACACAGGAAATTTTTCCACATTTACAATAGGGGTAATGTCAAAAACACACAGCATATAAAGTGGAAATAATAATAATAATGATAACATCTAAGGTAATGATAATAATACAAGCGGAAATTGCCGTGGGCTTGTTTCATACAGTATTGTCGATGCGGTATAGAAATCGTAGCATTTAAAAAAAAATATTGAAAATAATGTTCTCTTTACATGATATGGTGAGGGGAAAAACGAAGATTACAGCAGTCATAGAGATAAGTCGATGTTTGCAATTATGAGAGTAAAACAAAGAAGCAACAGGACCATAAATATAATAGAAATAATAAAAGTAAAACTTGAAGGTATGTAAAGATGGATGGAGGAGATTGCTTATTTACTGGATGAAAAAAGATTAGTTAATTCTTGCCTGACGCTATTTTCATCCCATAAAATACGTGCCAAGCATGGTATCATAGAATTTTTATACTTAGACGGGCGAGCATACAGTTTTCTGAAGTTACTTCTTGTTTTACCCAAGGAGATGCAAGGTGAAAGGTGAGGGTAAAGTGGATGCTCCAAGTCAGACAAAATCCCTCTAGCAAATTTACTGCACGAAGTCAAGTGCCTATCGACAACGACGTTAACTATGTGGTCCAATGGGACAACACTCATCCTACTGACAGTCTTCAGCATTCTACGAATTGTGACATAGTCATTTTTAAACAAACCAGGAAAGAATAAGTGTGAACAATAAAGAAGAATAGGTAGGATGCAAGAGTTTATGAACTGTAAGATGGGAGGTTGAGTTATACCCGAGTGCCTTAACTTCTTAATGTAAAATGTCAGGCGGAATATTTTAGAGGAGATCGCTAAGACATGGGAAGACTAGGAGAGATCAGAAAAGAGAATAAGTCCAAGATACTTAATTTCTGATTTAATTCCTAATCGACTAGCAATAAAATCAATAATATCTTCACATAGCTAATATCCTTAAAAACAACATATCTTATCAATCAACAGAAAATAGGAATGGTATTCAGCGTATAATTGAGAGTATTAAACTTACCAGGCCATTTAGCTGGTTCTGTGTTTGGTCTAAATACTTGGCCGGAGACGCATAGGCGGTCAACTGCAAGAAAAACAAATAAATAAACAAACAGGAATTACAGAGTGTGAGGGTAGTGTGGTAGGTTGTACTGCATTTTGACACAACAGATTATGCAGAGTAATTTCATTCCCAGAGATCCCTCAAAAAAAAATGTCTACTCATATTTTCAAAATCATTCAAAATATATGCGAATTATTATTATTGTTCCCTTGAGTTCCTAGTGGAACATATGGCTTCAACTGAACGTCTCCACTGGCTTCTGTCTTGTGCTGTACTTTTCACCTCCATCCATGTTAATCAATACTGTTTCAACTCCTCTTCACACAATCTCCTCCATGTCACCCTTGCACTGACGTCCCACTCGCCGTTTCCCTTTCGGGTTCCACTCGAGCAATGGCCTGACGCGCGATGTCACCCAGTGGCCTCCTCAGCGAGTGTCCAATCCATCTCCACTTTCTCCTGCATATTTTGTTGAGCGATTGGTTCTTGTTTTGTTTGTTCCCATAGTTTCTTGTTAGTGATTCTTTCCGGGGGCCATCTGATCTTCAGTATAGAGCGAAGACAGCTGTTAATGACAAAGGTCTGCAACAGGCTGTTGGAAATATTCTTTGTGACCCGCCGTCAAGTTTCTGACCCGTATAGAAGAACTCACTGACTTGACGTTTGTTTATATTGAAAATCCGAATTATGTTGTTGATGCTGAGTGACGAAGATTTCCAGATTGGTTTCAGGTTGATGAATGTGTTTCTTGCTTTCCCGATTCTCGATTTGACATCTTCGTGCGTCCGTTCCTCCTGTAGTTGAGACAATGCTCCCTAGATAAGTGCTCCCTGCGAATTGATAACTACTAATGTATCAAAGGTGAGATGGAATACAGGTCTCAAGTAGTCAGTTAGGGATCAGTGTCCACATATGAAGCATGTTTTAGTACAAAGGACCGCTTCCATACTGGTAGGAGTCATTACCTGAACTCAATCTCACAGGTGAAACATTAGAATTAGTCGATATCTAAGTGTTTCTGTTATGATGCTGGATCCTTTGTCACGCGGTCACTGCTTAACTACTGACCAGTACCCACTTAACTGGTAAATCGGAACACGAAGAGAATCAACTGTAAAACCGGGTTCATTTATTATGACAAAATTGACTGTATTTATACAGAAAATAAGGTAGACTGGAAATCAACCAATCCGGTTGAGAGTTTGTATTGTGCAAGCGTCCAATCAGAAGCAGGAATAATTGCATGTCAACGACTTGTTAATAACGCGATAATAACTTGACTGATGACCTGATAATTGCATGTTTTGCCTCTTCCTAACAGTTTCTAGATAGTTTTATGAATGCTGGAGGGAATGTGATGGATGAGATCTCTCACTGAAAGCCAGGGTGATACTTGCGTACTTTCACTATCTTCGCTGTAATCGCATCAGTAGCCTGACTATCAAAGATCGACTTTACAACTTATTCTGTGAGTGCAGTCTTACTCTACACCTGTTAAACTCGACATCTCGGAGTTGAGGATGTGAGATGACTTTGCATGCTCAATAATCGTTTTCTTCGTAGAATGTCTTGCATCCAGCCGTATCATCATTCTAATGGCGTTTGTTTGGAAATGGTGAAGATTGACATCCAAGCCGGCTTCTCTGGCTTGTAAATGTACTATGATTGTCACCTCAGTGTCTCCTATACCGCCAATTATTTTCTAAGCTTGGGACTGGGTGGAAAATGCGGTGAGGTAGTCAGTCTACGATGAAGTGACCGTGAGATGAAGGATACTTGGGTGACGTCATCATCTGTAACAACAGAAGGACCAGGCAACAGATCGTTTATTGAGAAAATCAACAGATATTTATAGATTTTTATGTACATTATTATTATTCGTTATTGTTAGCAGAGAAGCAACGTCTTCTGATTGGTTGTTTTCCTGCTGAAGGTTATTCTGTCACCTCTTTGTTGCCGTTTCTTAGACAGTCGAGTGATATCTGGGAATCGTATCGCCTACGCTAAGACTTCTGTGATTGGCTGTTGAGTTCCTCAAGGCTAGGGGCTTTGTTCTTGCTTTTTCTGATGACCCCAGTTTGGGACGTAAACATTGACGTAAATTTTTGTCTTCAATTTTAGCTAGCAGATAGCTACACACATTGATGGGAAACAAACAATGTAAGCAACATTTTAAGTAACTGGCTACAAAAGTAGAAGCGGTTATTTCTCAAATCTGGTGATCAGGATACAATCTCAAAATTTAACCTTCACAAAAACAACCAATCGGAAGAGTTTTAACTTTCGAAAAGTTGATAGCCAATCAGAACAGTCTATTGTGAGGTGACCTAGCCAATCATAAGTGTGGCTAAAAAGGTATAAATATGGTGTAATTTTCCCCCAATAAAAAGTGTGTTACCAAGTCCCTTGCCTTTTGCCGTTACAATTCTACTTTTTTCCACAAATAGTGTTTTATTGCTTTTTGTGATGTATTCCTTGGTGCTTATATTGTGCTAGTGTTGGGTAAGGGACGACTATAAAATAATCCGCAGTTGAAATGCTACGAATTTTCAAGGATTTATTTCTTAAAGAAACGACAACTAATTTCCAATATCTTAATATTAGCATAGGCTAGTTGGTTCGTTGACTCTCAGAGTTCCCTGTTGTTTGTTCTTTCTAACCGGTCGACAACCTTTCATTATTCAGAATACACTCTATAGACAGTTTAGGATACCTCACGAATTCAAGACTGATTGGTTGAATGACGTCGGACGACCTCGGAAATTATAGCGAAATATAAGCCGACAAAAATACTGTCCAAACAGATATTATCATGTCAGTGGATGCTTGCGTGCGTGCATAGATCATGGCTTCACGGCTAACAACGACGACAGACTGTCTGTTCTAACACTTGAATGCATCTCAGTGCATCAGATTGCGTCATATTTAGAAATGAGTATTTTCGAAGAGTTTCTTGGTAGGGATTTGATTTGCTACAAGGTTGATCACGGATTAGGATCAGCTAAAGAAGCATTGAAAACCAGCATGGAGTACTGGCCAGCTGTTTCGTCCCAGTTTGACACTCTTCACTACAGGGGTTCAAACCCAGGACCTTCCAGTTACAAGGCGAGCTCGTAGACCATTCAGTGTATGAGTACTGCCAATGAGTCCCATACTAGTACAAAAAACAGCTTTTCAGTACTTCTTGGCAGTTTTCATTGATTCTCTAACTAAAATCAATCCGTGCATGGTCGATCTTGAAATTCCCTGCAAAAAATAACTCTTCAAAATTAATTTGATGCTCTCTAGTGACTGTCTGCAGGACGAAGTTGCCTGTCTGTACTCCTGCTGAGAAGTCGTGACCAATCGGGTCCACCCGGTCGGCCGTGAGGACAAATACTCGGCAGCGATGACACTAGCTGATAGCAGCCGTGCTAAAATCACGAATTTGCATAAATCAAAATTCATGGACTGGCCGTTGAGGAGTCAGGTCCCAGTGGATGAATGCTGTACGAGCTTTCCTAGTAAGTGAAATAGCCTGAGTTCGAAACCCCTGCAGTGGGTGCGCACTGCCGGTGAGTCCCAAACCAGGACAAAATGAGTATTTCCAAATCCTATTTATGATAAATTTATATCCTATAGAAAATCAAAACAAATGATTCAGCGAAGAGACTCTTTTCAACGAATTTATCATCAAGCTGCACAATCGTATACATATATGGTTTTATTAAGAAGTTATATCCGGTGAGGGAATTGAACCATAGGTGTGAATGCATAAAATAATAATAATAGTAGTATGAAATACAATTAAAACTAAAATGTTTGTGATTATAATCGTAGTTAAATGTCAAGTGGCCAAGCAAATTAATGTCATATATAGAATAATTCATAGGATGGATAGAACTTGAAAAAAGTGTGCAATTATAGGATTAGTAGACAAATCGAATAGAACAGAAACGTTACGTAATATTGTGTGAAATTTGATAGCTTAGAATTTAGCGTTGTAAAAAAGAAGAATTGATTTAGAATGACAAGTGGAACAAGTGAAATAATACCGGTGACAGTTCAAAATGCGAATAGTAATAGTAACAATTGACATAATAAGGAAGAGAATACAAATTGAATAGACGAAATGAAAAAAAGAAAAATTGGTAGAGCCAAAATATGATTGGGGATTACCATACTGTAGCATAGAGGGATTAAGACCATGGAAGTTGGAGGGATTTAACGAACTTTTTCTGTACACACAGATCTGGCTTTTCCGTTTCAATGGCCAAAGATGGCTTCAGCAATACAGATGAGTCGGATACGTAGTGATTTGCGCAAATCACTTTTCGCCTTGTGGATGACTTTAAAGGCGGAGGCTATATAGATAGGGTAATCATTATCGCAAGGAGATGTTCAATGATCGCGCTTCTTATTGCTCCACTTCTACCTTTTCGTAACCACCATGCAGGATAGTGTTCTCGCACCCTCTTGGACAAAATTCGAGTCGAACGACCGATATACCTAGCTCCACACGAGCAGGTGAATTGATAAACACACATAGAGTTGGTCAACAGCGGGATCTTGTTCTTCAGGTTACTGAGCAGTAATGGTCGACTAGTAAAGGCTATTCTCAGAGATGCAGCAGGGAATGTTCTTTTAAGGGACTGTGATATCCTTCGTTTCATGATATCGGAAGCTAAGTCCCCTTTGAATTCCAAACTCATGTAAAGTATTTTCTTGGGCACGGTTGATAAGTCAGGTTTTAAAGGATTTGAATGTATATTCTTATCTATAAAACGTGGTGGAAATCCCTTTTCTATTATGATTTTCCTCAAGATGTATAATTCATCTGACACAGTATCAGGGCTTTGTATCCAATTAGCAATGACAAACTGGTCTAACATAATATAATAAAGTCACACACATACAAACACGCACGCACACACACACACACGTAGACACAAACTGAACTGACCTGAACGAGCATTTATAGAACTTGTCGCTGGTAGAGCGAATACTTTTGTCAGTGATGAATTATTATTATTATTATTCAT